CCCCAAAACCCCAAAACCCCAAAACCCCTAAGTGGAGAGGGGATATTGAACGTCATTTTAATTTTCTTCCATACATATGTGTTTCCAGCCATCATATCTATTACCTCTGTAATAAATATCCAAAGTCAATAGAGGGAAATATAGGGCTGTTTGTTTCAAATGGGAGTCGTTATCTCAAGGGGTCACTGTCAGTTCGTATACTCTTCCATTTAAAGTAGTATTTTGAAACAAATTAAGAAGAGAAAATATAAATCCTCCTTGAGTTGATATAGGCGATGACCTAAGATCAGTACTATTGGTTAGTACAATTTTAAACTTTTTTGAATTTGGAGCGAAATTAGGAACTATTATAAATTCCTGTAATTTTCAAGTATCAAACTCAATAACTTCCAATTCATTGCTATTAGAGAGTATTCTACATAGGTTGTACTGATCGATCTTCAAATTTTTAAAGTTAATGCTGCATGTGTACCTCAATAGCTTATTTAATTGAGGCTTCTGAAAAGGAGAGTATCGATCATGCCTAATCTTTCCAGAAAGCAATCAATGGAAGGAGATATGAAAATTTTTATCGTGGTTCTTTACTTTTACTGTGATTGAATGATTGTTGCAAGCTAGAGCTGCGAATTCCATTCATATTTCGCTAATTTTATGCTTCTTAATATAGCTTTTGGAACAACTGCAGTCATAATCCTTTGGCATCCTCTATATAGCAGAAAGTCATCAGGAGTGTTTAAATCATTAAACCCTTTAATGAAATTTGTCCTGAATATTGCAAAATAAATAAAAATGTTCAAAGTAGAGTAAGAACAACCCTGTACCCGGAATAGGAAACTAGGGGTATCGCAGGCATTCTTTCGAGCTATCAAAATTAGAAGAAATCCTCAAAGGGAACAAACCAAATTTGACAATAATCTGTTCTAAAACAAAGTAACATACACTCTTGAAATTTTGAGAAAAAACTCAAAAGGTCTGCTTAAAATTTCTTAGCCTCAGAATTGGAAACATAAGCAATAGTGGGTCCTTGACAGCCAACAAAATGTTGTGTATATTGCCATATCTCAGCAAAAGTATGGCGGTGGCTTTGAAGATTATTATAGCATAATTCAACGATGAGCATTAAGAAGGAGTGTTATCAAATTTTTAATATAAAGCTTCAAGAATACTTACATTCTATCAAAATAAGGTTCCTTTGATGTGAAATTCCATGTCCTTTCTACTTCTCCTAAGCTCTTTCTCTCAAGTTTCATCAGAATCTTTGTCTCCTTGGCTAGAGTCTTTTTCTCTTTGCTCTTATGATTTCCCATTTTATATTTACCCACATCCCAACACGGAAAGTTCTCCAGGGGTTTTGGGGTTTTGGGGTTTTGGGGTTTTGGGGTTTTGGGGTTTTGGGG